GCTGAAGTGGTGCCCTTTCAGCAGGCTCCAAGATGTTACTACTGGATTTGTCTCAGAGCCTGGGCTTATACCTGCTCTCAGCCCAGCCCTCCTTCTGAGTCAGATGACTCTCTCCATCAGGCCTAGCCACATTTGCAGGCTCCCTGGGTCAGCTGATTCCCAATTAGCCCACATCTGCTGGTGGTTTCACAGGACACCTTACCTCTTAAAATGGCAGGCATCCCAAATGCTCTGCCATAAAAGTTGCACATTTCAAAATCCCTTGTCTGCCATTTCTTGGCTTCACAGCATTATAAATTCTAATCTGCCTTTTTTCCTTCATGAATAAGATGACTTAAAGTCTATTTCAAAGGGTAGTGCAATAAGCTTGGATCATTTCATGCATTAGCATGCATTTTCCAGCTCAGCATTAAAACAAAAAGGGTGGCAGATGAGAGACTGCTATTATCATTCTTCAGAAGGAGACAGGGACTACAGATTGCTTTGATTTAGAGGAAAAAAAAAAAACCCTACATGGAAATGTTGGACCATAGGAAAACATTCTTCTGCAAGCCCATTATAAAAATACCACATAATTCATTTAAGGTTCTGGTACTGCTCACTGCTGGAGACTGTTAGATTTAACAGGTCTGATCTGACATTCTACTTCTTTCACCCTAGAGCATCTTTGCAGACATTTGGAGCAGTACAGCACTGTTATCTGTTCCTGGTCTAGCACTTAAGCCCAGCTCGATCATGTCCTTGTGCAAGAAGTCCAATCAGCTAGTCAGTGTTGGTCTCTTAAGCTGAACTCACTGTGGTCATGTTTACAAGATGTTCTTTGACATGATGTCATTTGTCTTTGACAGCATTTCCACCCTTTAAACTCTTCAATTGTATCCAATCCAGTACTTTAATTATTCATCCTGCTCTTTTTTAAAACTTTTAATTTGTCTTGGAGTCATTCCACTTCATACCTGACAGCTTTTGAAGGGCTCTCATCTCAACTGCCTCCACTCTTCAGATCTCCACCCTCCCATTTCATGAGGCCGCTTCCCCTCCATGAAGTATTGTTGAGGGATGTCTGCGCTGTAGCAGCAGTAGCATGTTCCAGCTGGGAAGTTCTTGAATACACGCATCTGCTCCCACTCCCCAAGCCTGGGAATGCACTGTTTAGGCC